TGCTTAATAGCCACATATGGCTAGAGGACACCCCTACTGGACAGTGCAGGTTGAAAAGATACCACAAAGCACTTACCATTCAACATCTATCTTTTGACTACTCAATTTATGTAATATTTTAATTCTTTTGTTTTATTTTGCCATATCCTAGGATGGGAGTGAACAGATGGAATGGTTAGATTTGAATTTCAGGGAAGATGACATTTTTACATTTTTAAAAAATCATCGATCACTAAATTTACTCTGGAAGTCTAATAGAACTTTCAAAAAAACCTACTGCTTTCTATTTTTTGTTTAAGCAATGGGATTGTTAAACAAGGTATAACTACTGATGATGACATGCTGTAACTAGCAAAGGTACAGCCTCCACATTAGCCACTCCCGTCCTTCTTTCTATACCCCGCCCTCCACTAGAACGCACCCACACGCACGCACAACCCTGAAACACACACACGTCCACGTACATACACACGTGGACTCCGCCCTTCTCCAGGTTCACTCAGGAGAAATGGAAAAGGTCGGGGGTGGAGGCGAAAGACGCCCTGTTATAGTCAACTAGTCATTAGCTCCACCTCAGGAAGCAGCAAACCGTGCACGCAACGATAAAACGTGTTCCTTGAAGGAATCTGCAAAGATTTAGAAACGACCTTCAGCTGAGGTATTTGTGAGGCCGCCCAGTCATGGTTGAAATTGGGATGGGTGTTTTCCCCTAATCAGGCACTCTTATTAACAATCTGATGCTTCAGTGAATGGAGCTGCTCTCCAGCCGCGGTGTTAGCTGCGGGACCTCCAGGACCCTCAGAACGCAAGCTCGCCTGAGTTCTTGGTTTCCAACAAAAGCGTGGTCACACCAAAAACTTCTATCACAGATGGGAAAACGGCCCCGAAACTTTCTTTTCCCTGGAACCCTCACTCACTCCCCTCCTACCCCGCCCCCTGCGTTATGCGCATCGCCTCGGGAGCTGAATAACCTCTTCATGTAGAACGCCAACTCTGCAAAATCCCAGGAGCTAAACCGACCAACCAGCCTCCCGGAATAGAGAAGCAAGAAAACAGCAACCCCCAGCCACAAGCCGCTGTTTTCCCCGAGTTTAAAAAAAAAAAAAAATTAAAAAAAGTCCCATCGCCGCGCAATGCGTGCTAGGATAAGTAGTTCCTTCAACCGGCGAGGCCTGGGATCAGTTCGGAGCTCAGGTTGACTCCCCCGAAGAGTACTACAGCTCCCGTCGTACCCTACGGCAGAATGGAAGGGGCGGGACGGGAGAGGACGCGTCGCGCTTGCGCAGGTCGAGAGGCCGGAGGGGAGGAGGAGAGCAGCGGTGGAACTGCTAAAGCGTCTCCATGTGACAGTGAGCTGGGTTCCAGCTCCAGGCGCCGCCCGACCCCAAGCACTGTCCACTGTCCCGGCGCCAGCAGACACCAACAGGCGGGGGACGCCTAGTGTTTGGCCGTGCCGCCAGAGGACTTGGGGTGCGGAGTGAATTGTAGCCGCCGGTGCAGGTGCCTGAGGGAACCCGCTGAGACCCCTACGTCTCCGGAGAGGCGAGCGGGGATTTCTGTCGGCCCTGGTGCCCCTGAGCGCGGAGTCATGAATGGCTTCACGCCTGAGGAGATGAGCCGTGGCGGGGATGCGGCCGCCGCAGTGGCCGCCGTGGTTGCTGCCGCCGCAGCCGCAGCCGCTTCGGCAGGGAACGGGGCCGGGGCGGGCGCCGGGGCTGAGGTGCCCGGCGCCGGGGCCGTCTCGGCGGCTGGGCCCCCAGGAGCGGCTGGACCGGGCCCCGGGCAACTGTGCTGTCTGCGGGAGGACGGTGAGCGGTGCGGCCGGGCGGCAGGCAACGCCAGCTTCAGCAAGAGGATCCAGAAGAGCATCTCCCAGAAGAAGGTGAAGATCGAGCTGGATAAGAGCGTAAGTGACGGCTGGACGGCCCTGCCCATCCCCTAGGGGCTCCGGGAGCGGTGCAGACGGGTTCCTCCCGCCCCCGACCTGGCTGCAGTGCAAACCCGATGGGGGGGTCTTTGGTAGGAAGTCAACAGCAGAGTCGCAGCAACTCCGACCGCTACCCCAGCAGACACACACTTGCACGCTGTGGTTTCCCTCACCCCCCGCTGCCTGCGTCGCTCCCGCTCGCTGTCTTCCCCCTTCCTCCTTCGCTGAGATCGGGAAACGAAACAAAGGGAACAGGCGCTCGGAGGGTCGGGAGTAGTTTAGTGGTAGCCCGGCAGCTCTTTCTGGAATGGAGGCGCCGCCTTTGTTTTGCTGCCCAAGCTGGCGTTTGGCCCAGGGAGTAGTTCCTCTGGTCTAGGGAAAGTGAAATCCTACAAGGACCTGACACCGCAGTCAGGAAAGATCCCGAGTGTGGAGTGAGGGCAGCCGAGCTCGCCCGGCGCCGTGCAGGGAGAGGGGGTTGTGAACGGTGGCGGCGGTGGCCGCATCTAGGGCAGCTGCTCCGAGAGTAGGGAGCACGTAGTCTCTGCGGCTTTGCCGTCCGTTTGGCAGCCATCAGGATTTCTCTTTCCGTCCTTTTTGCACGTCTGTTCTTTTGACCGTCTATGAGGCTTTTAGAAACAACCGTTGCCACTTTTCGGAGTTCTGTCTGGCGGTAAATGAATAACAAGATGTCAGAACCTCGCATACGTCCTGCTTCTTTTTAACTTGCACTGAGCTTGAAAGTTAACTGAAAAGCCTATTAGCTCAGTCCTTAATTGTTTGGTTTTTGTAAGGGTTGACTGTTCGTGTATGAAGCCCAATATTTCAAGTGTTACTATACACTGTATTTGTATACATTGACAATGTATTTAAAGCTTTTGAAAAGCTTGTGATACTTTCTGCTTGGTTATACAGTCTGCAGTCATGTTTATGAGAAACTTTTAAGGGAAACGAGTAATTTCACATTGCTTTGGTTGAGATAACGTGTTACAGATAAATACATTCATTTAATACTCAGGAAAGTTTATAATTCCAAATTTAAATATAATTAGGATATGTAATCAATAGCTTATTTGTAAAACTGAATAGTTCTGCACCTGGATTCTAATTTGGGTATTAAATTAGAAAGAAAGACTAGGAAGCATATGTCATGCTACTAACGTATGCTCTTTAATAGAGAAAATACTATCAAATAGCAAAACTATTTGATGGACAACATCATCATTCCCCTCCTTGTTAGAAAAACAGCATGACCTAACTCATCTAGTTCACCCTCACTGCAATTTGATAACGAAATCCAAAGGGTTGGAATTTCTCATTCTCCCCTGCCTCTCTCCCCTTCCTTACTGCCACCTCTCCCCACCCTACTTCCCAATCCTCTTTAACAATATTGCCAGACATGGTATGTTTTAACTGGGTGCAGGACTTTAAAAAGAAATATGCTCTTGTGTTAACAATGGTCTATTTTGACTGTTTTTATTTTTAATAATTCACTGTGGCCTATGTATTTTATTAATATATCGACACATTTTACCGTAATCATAAGTAGTCTATGAAACTTTCCTGTTTCAGGTACGGCATCTTTACATTTGTGATTACCATAAAAACTTAATTCAGAGTGTTCGAAACAGAAGAAAGAGAAAAGGGAGTGATGATGATGGAGGAGATTCACCCGTTCAAGATATTGATACTCCAGAGGTAAACGTAAATCCTAAGCAGCCCAGTCTGAAACTTTGATGGAAAGATATGAACAAATTTTTAAAATACTTGAAACATTTGAAAAATCTGAAAATGAAAGCAAAAATAAATATAGCCAGTTAACAAGCAGTTCTACAATTTGACTTGTTATACTTTCAATTGACAATTCTTATAATTCTGTTTTATGACCTTTTCCCTCAGTTTTTAATATTTATCCTCAAAAGATTAAAGTGTTTAATACATTTATGGTTTTGATTATATAAAAGCCTTTTAATAATGGAATGAAATTTTTATTGTGCTGCAATTGAAATGTTAGGTGTATCAAAGATAAGTTTTTAACAAAATGCATGAACTAATTCATGTATGTTAATTTTTTTCAGGTTGATTTATACCAATTACAAGTAAATACACTTAGGAGATACAAAAGACACTTCAAACTACCAACCAGACCAGGACTTAATAAAGCTCAACTTGTTGAGGTATTTATGAGTTTTAAACTATTTAAAACTTTAAATGAGCCTAGTCATACAAAAAAAAGGTCATTAAATGCTAATGAAATTGTTAACATAGTGTAATGCATATAACAATATACTTTCGTTAGAAAGATCAAAGTTAATGAACAAAATCTATTGTGGAAGAATCTAGTTACCTAGAAATGTTTGTCTGCCTCTTAGGAAATTTCTTTATGTATTGACTACTCAATGGATTGTATGTAGTTTTCTAAGCATCTTCTAATACTGACTTTCAGAAATAGTGAGTGAAAATTTTTTATTCTCATTCTAGAAATCTGTTTGTTTTAAAGTTTCCTTTACTCAGTAAATATTAGTTGAACACCTATTTGAGGCATAATAAATTAATGAGCTTTGATGTTTTTATTAGAATTTATTTTTTTAAGATTCTGATGGAGTAGGTCTTACAGATAAGCCCATAAACAGTATTCCCATAACTTTCTGATTTAACCATTTCAGAGTTTGTCCTTGTTGATGTTTATTTTAGGCATGCATGTTTTCTTCACATCTGGAAGATACAAAAACATATACCTAAGGTTTTACTTAAATAGTTTGCTTTGATATAGGACTTCTAGTCCTTCAGTGAATTCTGAAAAGTTGAATGTGTATGTGTTCCTAGGAAATAATAGAACCAAGAAATTTGTGCATGATATCAAGATGTTTGTTGATTTATATATTTATACTTTAATCATATTTAAAATAAAAATGGTTAATTTACTTGACAGAATAGAATTGTATATAAATACTTCACTCATATTCTTTAGCTTGAATTTAGTAATCTAGCATTTTCTAAAATGTGCATATTGAATAAGATGAATGGAAGGTACAACTCTTTGGCAGAATGCTTTTTAACATTGTTAAGATCCAATATATTAACTTGTAGCCAGAATTTCTTCTTCCTTCTTGGCTTGGCAACAAAATTCATTTTTTCTTTAAATCTGATTTAAAATATCTAGTCCTTTGGTTTGTGTAGCACATTACTATAACGTAAATATAGATTTTACCTACCATGATAAAACTATGTCGATATGTACAGATACTAATTGAGTGGAAATACTTTTGGGACGAATGAGAACCAAAGAACTGGTTATTTTAAATGTTATATTTAAATGTACATGTTTTTAAATGCATAAACAAAACCTAAAGTTTTTCATCTGATCTTCTTAAAAATTTTTGTATTATTTCTAGGGCTATTTTCTGTTTTAGAAATGAGAAATAGCCATGAATGTTACAGTTTATTTAAGTTAGAGATCCAGATATTTATAAGTGATTCCAGAGTTGAATAACTATCCTCCTTAAGTCTCTTAATTGTCATTTAGATAACTTATCTTTAAGAAGTTTTATCTTCTAGAATCTAAATATGCAGAAGAGCCACCCCAGTTTAGTCTGTTGTGCTTCTTTTGGTAGCTTCAGTGCACTTGATAGATTAGCACAGTGAAAAGGCAAGAAAGCAGGTAAACGTTCTTCAGAGAACATCTCTTTCCCCTCTCATTTTCCGTTCATAATTTTTATTCACAAAAATTGTCAAGAAATCTTAACAAATACTGCCAATAAATGAATGAATGTAAATTGTAGCAAACATATGTGTAAGATATTTCGTGGTTTGTTTCTGTAGTACCAAAACTTTTTCAGTTTCATATTTTTTCTTTTTCTCTGAGTAGGGTCTAAACCGTTACATGATGCATGTGGACTCTTACATTCTGTTTTATTTCATTGGTATTTAAAATTTAAACCTAAAAATATTTACTCGCTAATCTAGATTCCAGTTATAAAATTTAAAATAAGTAAAAGGAAATACACATTCTAATTAATGTATATTTGAATGGGCTGAAGGTGCCTGTAAAATCACACTGTCTCTTGTTCATAACATCTTATTCTTATATGCTTTTCATTCTGTTGGTATTTTGTTAAATACAATTTAATTTTAAAAGGAAATAGCTCTTATCATCACATACCACTTTTTCTTTTGATAAAAGTGTTTTTTTTACCTAGTTTATGAAATCTGTTAATATCTATAATTTAATTTCCTCAATTTTTTTTCCTTTATAGATAGTTGGTTGCCACTTTAGGTCTATTCCAGTGAATGAAAAAGACACCTTAACATATTTCATCTACTCAGTGAAGAATGACAAGAACAAATCAGATCTCAAGGTTGATAGTGGTGTTCACTAGGAGAGATGGAATTGAGACTAAGACTTGGATATTCAGATGTTAAGACTGTTTACTGTTTTTTCACATGTAGAAATAAATGTTCCTTGTGTATTTTTTCTACAGAGGATTTTCTCTGATTTTATTTTCTTTGTTTCTGACTCTAATAATTAGTTGGAAACTCATATTAAATGAGCTTTCCTAGACTAACGCATATTTTAAATAAAGGTTATTACTATTATAGTTGCTTCAGTGTATTTATTTTGTGAAACTTGATTTTTATTTTAAACTGACCTTCATGGACCAGTATTAATTGAGATTTTAATATAAAGATCATTTTGTCATCCTCCACCCCTATTTTTTAATTCTAAGAAATTAACAGTTAAGGAGAAGTAACAAATATAGTACATTTGCTTTCTCTGGGACAATCTGATTTGGAATTAAGGATATCCTAAATAGCATTATTTTGTAAAGTGCTTTTTAGTGCTAACAGTTTTAAAAACTAGACTTCCAATAGGATTCAACTTCTTTTTTATCTCCTTTTTTATTATTACTTGATAAAAGTATCAAAAAGAAAAAACAGTTTCATTTAATGTCTGCCTCCTTCCAAAGAGTACTTAATGTGCCAGCAAAGATAAGCACAGTGCTAGAAGTTCGAATAAGAACATAGAATTAAATAGTTTTAGACGTTTCCTTAAATTTTGTCTTAGAGAAAAGGAATTTATATGGCATGAATATACAACAGAAAGAATCTCTAAAATGCTCCTTAATTTCAGTCATGTCCTATACTGTTTACATTGAAATTAAAACTAATAAATTTGAGAGATCTAAAAGTCTGACAAGATCTTTGAATTTTGGTCATACATAGCTGACTTGATTTATATTTTATTTCCTTCTATATTTCATTCTCTGCCAGTTCTTTATTGAATATTTTTAACATCTGCTTTTCCTGGATTATATTACTTACCCAAGTTCTTAAAATTATAAATCAGATTCACATCTTGTGACATGACATCACAACAAAACAGCTTGAGTGATGTGTTCTGAGATTTTGGTATAGATTTTAGGCTGGAAATGGATAAGACCGTTAATGTAGCTCAGGGTTTCTCAAAGTTGACAGTTGTGTCTGATAATTCTTTTATTGTGAGAGGCTGTCCTCTGTGTTGTATATTTAGCAGCATCACTGGAGTCCACACACTAGTGCCAGTAGCATTCTAAAGGTGTGACAACCAAAATTATCTCTTAACCATTGCCAAGAATCCCTTGGGGGCAAAATCACCCCTGGTTAAGAAACATTGTAGCTAAATCTACAGTACTGGTTCCTTAGAAGGTGAGTCTGTTTAGCTGAGTGTATTGAACCACTAGAAAATATGGTAAACAACAAAGCTTTTGTTTTTGCTATGACCATTTAAACATTTACTTCTTTACTGATGAGTAGAGGCTGTGATAATTGGTATAGAATCCTCTCAAATCCGGCATTCCAGAAATCTTTCCTAGCTATACGAAAATGAACCATATAGTAACAAGATGTGGTTTATTTAAAGAAAACATTACTTCGAAATTTTATATTTTTACCTAAACTTATAAAGACTTAATTTTTTAATAAAAACTTGACTGTAGGCTTATTTTTTCCTGTAAAAAAACAACACTCCATTCTTGTGAAAAAAGCTTGAAATTATTTGTTTACATTAAAATGTCTGTTTATGAGAATAACCTTGGCTTAGCAATGTTAGTTTCATATAATTAACTATTTCCATAAAATGTATTTGGATAAAAAGGGAATTAGAGTTATAGGTGTTGATTATCCAATAAATTAAACCCTTTTTAGTATATGTGCTGCTGAAACGAGCACTAAACCCTTTTTAGAGCAATTTAAGACGTGAAAAACTTAGAACTTAAGAACCTCATCAAAGCTGAAGAACTCAAGAAGCAGTAATGTAAAAGTTGGTTTTATATAAAATGTTTAATTTTGTGCTATTGGGTTTAAAAAATTGTGAATTCATTAGAAATCATTTATATCAAAAAGTCAAGGGAAACTCCTCTGTATTGATGGAGTTACTTATATTGTTAGAGTATCACAAGAAGAACCAAAAAATTGACTGCCTTGGGGTAGAAGAAAGAAAATGATGTGTTCAAGAAATAAATCAGTTATTTGGTAACTGCCTTTTACTGAACAATTTAGGAAAAGGCTAAAAATGAAACCTGAAAAATATTTCTTTAAGAAAACAAGCTCTATTATTTGTACATAAAGTCTTTTAATTGAGGTGAAATATACATAATATACAATTAACCATTTTAAAGTATATAATTTGGTAGTATTTAGTGTATTCACAATGTTGTACAACCACCAGCTCTAATTTCAAAATTTTTTTCATCACCTCATAAAAACACCCTTAAGTAATCACTCCCAATTTCTCCCTTCCTTCATCTCTTGGAAACCTCTAATCTGCTTTCTGTGTCTGGAGTTGCCTATTATGTGTATATCATATAAAGGAAATCATACAATAAAATTGACTTGAATAATGCAGGATTTAGGGCTACCGACCCTCCTTGCAATCAGAAATCCGCGTATAACTTAGGACTCATCAAATATATACTTAACTACTCATAGCCCAATGTTGACCAGAAACCTTACTGATAACATACATAGTCAATTAACATATATTTTGTATGTTATGTGTATTATATATTGTATTTTTGCAATAAAGTAAGCTAGAGAAAAGTTATTAAGAAAATCATAAGGAAGAGAAAATACATTTACAGTATTAATTGGGGAAAAAAATCTGTATAAGTGGACCCACGCAGTTCAAACGCATGTTGTTAAAGAGTCAAGTGTACAAGTCCTTTTGTATCAGGGGTTTTTACTTAGTGTAACGTTTTCAAGGTTCATCCAAGTTGAAGCACATATGAGTAGTTGGTTATTTTTATGGCTAAACTTTACATTATACACACATATATATGTGTATATATATATATATATATATATATATATATATATATATGCATGTAATGGTATATACAGAGGGTGCCAAAAAAATGTATACACTAAGAAAGGAAAAACTATATTAAAATTAATACTCAATATATTCTGATAACAAAAGATGAATACAAGTCACATTTGACTTCTGCAATTACAAGAGGTGATCAAAGTGGTTACAATCAGCATAATTTTAAAATAGTTTTTTCTTTTCTTAAAAATGTGTATACATTTTTTTGCCCCTCTATGTATATACCACAGTTTGTTTATCATTCATTTGTTGATAGACATTTTGGTTTCCGCCTTTGTCTATTATGAATAATGCTGCTATAAACATTCGTGTACAGGTTTTTGCATGGACGTGTTTTCATATATCTTGGATATAATCCTAGGAGTAAAACTGCTGAGTCACATGTTAATTCTATATTTAATGTTTCGAAGAACCTCCAAACTTTTTCATAGTGGCTGTACCATTTTACACTCCCACCAGCAATGAACAAGCGTTCCTATTTCTCCAAATTGCCAGTGCTTATATTTCCCTTTTTTTAAAAAATAAAAGCCATCCTACTGGATGTGAGGTGCTATTTCATTATGGTTTTGATTTGCATTTCCTTAATTATGACCAATGATATTGACTATCTTTTCACGTGCTTTTGGCCACTTGTATATCTTCTTTGGAAAAATGTCTATTCAAGTCCTTTATTCATTTTTTTAATTGGGTTTTTGTCTTTTTGTTGTTGTGTTTAGGAGTTCTTTATTCTGGATATTAAATCCATAGCCAATATACGATTTGCAAATATTTTCTTCTATTCTGTAGATTACCTTTTCATATTCTTGGTGATGATCTTTTTTTTTTTTAAAGATTTTTATTGGGGAATTGGGGGGATGAGAACAGCACTGGGGAATTGGGGTAAGGGGAAGAGACAAGTTGCTGTCGTTTTGTTCTTCAGTCTACTTGTGGAGGATGTTGCTTCACTGGCCCAAGTTGGCACCATCATTGCGCTCTTCCAGGCGAGGCAGATCAGTCGCCGGCTTCTGGATGTCCACTCACTGCGACTGCTGGCCGCTCACGCTGGCTGCTGGCTACACACGGTAGCCCATGGCAACCCACTGCCACAGGGGCTGCAGCCTACACTGTCGCCTGCGACTCACAGCAGCCCAGCTCCAGGTTGAGCTGTTGTTCAGCATCTTAGCTGTGGAGGGCAGTGTCACTGGCCCTCATATGTGGGATCCGAACCGGGGCCCTCTGGCATCCCAAGCCAGTTCTTAACCATCACACCACTCGGCCGGCCCTTGGTGATGATCTTTGATGCACAAGAGTTTTTAGTTTCTATGTAGTGCTATCTATCTATCTATCTATCTATCTATCTATCTATCTATCTATCTATTTATTTATTTATTTATTTATTTATTTATTTATTTTTGTTGCTATTATAGCTCATACTTTTGGTGTCACTTCTAAGAATCCACTGCCAAATCTGAGGTTTTGAAAGTCAACCACTATGTGTTTCTCTAGGAATTTTATAGTTTTAGCTCAAGGTTATTGACCTACTTTTGAGTCAGTTTTTATGTATGGGGTGAGTTAAGGTCCAACTTCATTCTTTTGCATGTGGTTATTTAGTTCTCACAGCTCCATTTGTTGAAGAGACTATTCTTTACTGAATGATTTTGGCACCCTTGTCAAAAATCTATTTGCCATAGATGCTTCAGTTTATCTCAGTATTCTCAATTCTATTCCATTGGTCTATATTTGTGTTCTTATGCCAGTACTACATTCTTTTGACTACTGTAGTCCTGTAGTAAGTTTTGAAATCAGAGCGTGTGAATCCTACTTTGTTGCTCTTTTTCAATATTTGCTAGGTTATTTGAGCCCCCTAGAAGTTCCATATGAATTTGTATATTGGTTTTTCTATTTCTGCCAAAAAGACCATTAGACTTTTGATGAGGATTGTGTTGAATCTGTAGATCACTTTAAGATTGCCATATTCAGAATGTTAAGTATTATAATCCATGAACATGGGATGTCTTTTCATTTATTTAGGGCTTCTTTAATTTCTTGCTGCAATGTTTCATAGTTTCCGGTATACAAGGTTTTCACCTCCTTGGTTAAATTTATTCCTGATGTTTTATTCTTGTTGATGCTATTGTAAGTGGAATTGTTTTCTTAATTTCTGTTTTGGTTGTTCATTACTAGTGTATAGAAACACAACTGATTTTTGTATGTTCGCCTGACAACTGCTGAATTTGTTTATTAGCTATAGTAG